TCACAGCATCAGAACTCTAAGCACGTGAGAGAGGGTGGGCACCTCCCAGAACATTGTATTGTGCCACGCCCAACAGAAATACTCCATGTGGATAACATTTACAATCAGCTCCTCAGTTGCTCATTCCACCACTGAGTTTTCAATGACTTATGGGTAGAAAAGCCATACTAAGTAATTTACTACACCTCATGGTTATATGGCAGCCTGACTAGGCCATGATTCTCAATGATTTGGCAGTTAGATAATGATGTTATCTTTGTTTTTGTGTAATGCTGATTTTCACATAACAACCTGGCCCTTGGAGAGGTGTTTATATGTCTTTTGTAAAAGGTCTAAATTTGATAATGTGAAGTGTGTATGTGTGTGTATATCTCAAAACTGACTTCTGTTACTGGATTATTTTGCAGATAATTTTATATGTCAAGGAAGAGATGAAAAAGAACAATATCCCAGAACCAGTTGTCATTGGAATAGTCTGGTCAAGTGTAATGAGTACTGTGGAATGGAACAAAAAAGAGGAGCTTGTAGCAGAGCAAGCCATCAAGCATTTGAAGGTATGAGAACTGTGCCTTAACAAGTTATTCTGCTTTTAAGTGGGGATGCATGAACAGTCGCTGTACTTTTCTAATAGGATTTATCATGTCCTGTGGTTCCTGGGGATAAACCAAAAAAAATTACCCACTGCCATCAAATCAGTTCCAACCCATAGCGATCCCCATTGAGTTTGCAAGGCAAGAAATCTTTATGGAAGTAGATTGCCCAGTCTTGCTTCCGTGGAGTGGCTGGTGGGTTTGAACCACCAATCTTTTGGTTAGCAGTCAGATGCCTTAGGCACTGTGCTACTGGTAGGTTATCCCACCAGTAAATAAACAAATAACATGAACTACTGATAACACTTCTAAGGTTGACTTGGCCTGCCTTTGGTTCATGAGTGAGAAACAAATACATGTTTAAAAGTAGCTTAAACCTGCAAATTGTGATACTTGCTTTTGAGGGAATATTAGAAAATAGGTGCATGCTTTTTTCTCCTCTAAAATAGTGAACATTACATTGCTCCTGGAATATTCACTACAGTATTGCTTATTGGGCTTATTAGATGCTTAGTAGGTTTTTATGGTTTTCAATTTTTAATATGTGAACAATTTAGTTTAAGGAGCATATACTTTATAGTGATGGTAAAGGTGAATTATGTTCTGTATTTTGGGGATTTTGTACTGGGTGGTCATTGTGATATATATGAGTAAATCTTTTCTCCCTTCTCTTTAATAGCAATACAGCCCTCTGCTTGCTGCCTTCACTACTCAAGGTCAGTCTGAGCTGACTCTGTTACTGAAGATTCAGGAGTATTGCTATGACAATATTCATTTCATGAAAGCCTTCCAGAAAATAGTGGTGCTTTTTTATAAAGGTAATTTAAATTTTGAATTCTATTATTAAATTTAACAGAAATGCTTCAGTACTGAGAATAATTCAAAAGAATAGTTGCTTGAATATTTACTCCCTGAAATACTTTTTACTCCCGTCACAAGAGTGAGTTGTCTCCGATTAATTGGGTAATTTTTAGTGCATTAATATTAAAACATCTCTCAACTGTGTTGTTGTTGCTGTTATGTGCCATCAAGTTGGCCCCGACTCATAGCGACCCCTCCTTGGGTTTTTCCAGGCGGTATCACTACGGAAGTAGAGTGCCCATCCTTCCTTCTGTGGAGTGGCTGACGGGTTTAAACTGCCGGCCTTCTGGTTAGCAGTCAAGTGCCTTAGACACTATGCCACCAGAGTTCTTCTCCTGTTCTCCAGCCATGTCATATACCCAAGTTCCTACCCAGACACACTGTTGACATTTCTGTAGTCTTCACATGGGCTGCTTTCCTTGACCCTATCCCACTGTCCAGTGTGAACTTTCACTTCTCCTTCAAGACCAGTTGAAAGTGCTTCAGTAAAACCCCTATTTCTGTTACTGTTCCTTTATCTGTGTGATCCCATATTGGTTTAAAGTGTTTGATTAGCATACATAAAGACCTCTGTTGGCCCCCAAGACTGTGGCCCTGGAGTGCACTTCGGGCATGGGATAAAACTCACTCCCAAGGGCTGGCTCTCAGCCCAACAGTAGTAAGACTTACATGCAGAACACCTAGCCCAGGTTGATGCACTCACATACTCTATGGAGATACACTCCTTAGAACAGTTGGCTGTGGGGCACCAGAGGGGCAACATTGACATGGAGGAAAAGCTGGACAGACAGGAGGAGTCCCTACGAAGGGCACGGGGATTGGGGGGGAGGGGCGGTTAGGATTGGGGATATGGTGATTGGAGAGTGAAACCAAAAGTACACAAACAAATGAATATAAAACATTCTGTTCTATAAATTTACACCCAAAGCACAATTAAAAACAAAAAACCTGTTAGGAGAGCACCCATCACAGTTAATTTATTGAGGTTCATGATAGCAGTTTTTGTTTTAATGCTGCATAAATAAAAACCGCCTCAAGCCCAGTGAATGTGGTTTGTGTACATGTATTAGTTGTGTTCCCTAGTTTTCTCATATGTGATTTTGATGGTGTCTTCCCTAGGTTTTGGTTTTTTTTTTTTTTTCTTTTTCTTTTTCTTTTTAAGCATGCAAGTAATGACCTCCTGTGTGCCAGTGTGTTAGCAGTTATCAGCCCAAGGCTAGATTTCTTGAAAGGAGCTGTACTCTTATTTACCCTCATTCAGATTTTTTAGAAACAGATTCTGGAAATCCTCATGTAATTTTTCAGGATGCATCTGGAGTATACTGTAATTTGTCTTTTTTTTTTTTTTTTTTTTTTTTTTTTTTTTTTTTTTTTAATTAAAACACAGTTACCTTCGTACACCTGAAATTAATGAAATTTTTGTCAGAGTTCCATGATATTTAAGAAGGGGTTTCTCAGCGTCAGTACTGTTGCCATTTGGGGCCAGATCATTCCTCATTGTAGGTGATTGTCCCGTGCATTGTAGGGTGTCAGCAGCATCCTGGTGTCTACTCAGTAAATAGCAGCAGCACCACTCCTCAGAGTGACCACCAAAAATGTCTCCATAGTTTGTCAAAACTCCCAAATAATAACGATGACTCTCTATCCTTTATAGCTGAAGTCCTGAGTGAAGAGCCCATTCTTAAGTGGTATAAAGATGCACATGTTGCAAAGGGGAAAAGTGTCTTCCTTGAGCAAATGAAAAAGTTTGTAGAGTGGCTCAAAAATGCTGAAGAAGGTAAGTTTTCCCCTTTGTGCAGTTGATTTGTGCAATGAAGCCTGGAAATTCTTGATACTAGCATAGCCATAGTGTGTGTCTACACACAGTTGCCGCCTTTTATTCTGATGCTGTTTTGTACAGACTTTGTTGCTTTTTGACAGACCTGCAAATAGTCGTTTGCTTAGGTCAGGTGAAGAAAACTTTGACTGTAATTATTGCAGTGTTTTGATGGCTCAGCCAGAATACTTAAACATACTAACAGGCAGCTTGAAAAGTTTGTAAACAATAGGTGTTTGTTTATTTTAAGATTCATAAGTGAATACTTTTCAACAGATCCCTTCCATAATTAGGCTATTTTCGTTTTACTAATAAGATTTTTTAATTATAATAAAAAGCATCAGTGTTAGAAATGGGAACTTTTGTGTTCTGATGCCATATAACACATGACTACATTTTTCCCCTTTTCTAGAGTCTGAGTCTGAAGCTGAAGAAGGTGACTGAATTTTGAAACGACACCTCAGTAACGCAAACAGGAGTTGTAGTTAAAACGTCATGTCTCATGTGTCCTGGTTCTTACATCTTCCTACCTCCCTGTATCAAGCATGATATAAGGGCTTTCATGGCAAATTTTATTTTCACTGTTTCTGTGGTTACTGGAAATGTTGGGTTTAGTTTCTAAAACCCTGTTTTAGGTAGCTACAGGAGCTGTAGATTGGAATCTATGTTGCATTAGTCTTTTCAGTTCTCTTCTACCTCCTGTATTTTCTACTGTAATGATGTCATTTAAGGCCTTCCACAGTGAACAGTTCATTTTCTTCCCTGGGTTTTCTATATGAACAGTTTTCAAGATACGATTTGGTTAAAAACAGTTTGTTATAAAAATTGTTTGCAAATTAAACTGTAAAAGTATCCACAGTCTCAAACAGCAATGATTTGTGTGATAATTTGGTATGAAATGAAAAGGTGGCGTATTTTTTTGCCCAGAGCCTTATCAATGGAAATCTCTTACATAATAATTGAATTTATTAACATGAATCTTGAGTGTTTGGACCATTACTTGCATGTTAACATATTTTCTTGTATTTTTTAACCCCAGATGTCCTTAATGTTAGTTGTTTGCTCACTGGTTTTCATTCTGTAGTGAAGTCATGGAAAAAAAACTCTCAAGTGAGATCTTTGGGAAGTCACATGTGACAGAGGTGGTGGGAAGAAGAAAATTGAGTTTTTTCCCATTAGGAAACCTTTGCATTCAGTTAATATCTTTCTAAACAAACCAGATGGCTATTCTTTTCATTGAACCATTTTCAGATATACCTAAGAAAACTTCCCATTCAAAGTATTTTACGCAGAATACGCTTAGATCAATGGGAGAGGCTTACAGATAAGGGAATGACTGATAATAGTTTTAAACCTAGTAAAACTTGTTGAAAATGTTACAGGATCAGCATGTTCTAATTAAGACTCTAAAAACATGTCTCCTATTGGCTTAGGGTATTTGTTGTAAAGAATGAAGTGCAATGATAATGATATATTCCACTTGATCATACTGGACTGGCTTCAGTTTCTTACGTTCTGTAATGATTCAAGCATCTGCTATTGACATACCCTTAGTTGCCATTTTTTAATTGCCATGAGCCAAATACTCTGTATGGTTGATCCATCTATTTTAATGGCTGCCTTTTCATTTTCATCCTTCTTGCTGCTACCCATTTATGTACGTAGTCATTAGAAAATAAAAATGTGACCACATATTAGTGGGGGGGGCTACTTCATGTTGAAAGTGAACATTTTGAAGATTTTCTTTATTGGTGAAAGAAACTAACCTGGAATAATGCCACCAGAGACTGAGTGGAAATTGCCCCTTTCTAAGGTGCCATTCTTATGAGCCAAGAATATAGTGTTTAAAAGTTAATCTTGAGGGAATAACGTGTAATATAAGTTGAAATAAAGGTATCGTAACCTTATGGAAAAGAGCATTATAATTGATAACATTTTGAATGAGATGAATTTGTTAAATGAATAACTTTGATAAGGTTTTCTTGCACAGGCAAAATGTATTCGCTAGGTTTCTATATAGTAATCTGGTTTTACTTTGTAATTTGTAGTCCTCAAAAGACTTTTTTTTTCTTTTTTTTTTTTTAAATAAAATCCATCCTTACACTTATGCTTTATAGGTCAGTCTTTTTTTAAAATTTTTAATTGTCTTGTAAATTTCATGTTAATTACTGAATAGTATGGTATGTTATGCATTCAGATGTCTTCACTGTGCAAATACTAAATAATTACTCCTTTCAGCCAGTTTATGATTCCTGAAGAAACACGTAGAATTTTTTATAGCTGAAACTACATTAACATATTTCTACAGCCAGCTCATTGCATGTTACTACTGTACAAAGTGTACCCTGTTTTATTATATACTGTGTATAGTCAAAGTGTGTAGTCTTCCAACACTACATTTTGATCTTTGTCTGATCATAGAGTCTTTCCTACATAATGACATAGTAGTGTTTACTTACTACAGTGTTAGAGTAAATGGGTAAGTCATCTGTGGCAATATAGTTTAAGGAAAGGGAATGCTTTTTTTAAAAGACTTACAGATTTTCATTTTGAATTTTAAGTGGTAATTTTGGAACTCGGCTGCCAGTGCCAGCTTGTGACCTTGAATATATAATACTTAATATAGACTAAGTAGTAAATTACTTTGTTTTCTTGGTGTCAGTTTTTAAGGCTAAGTTTCCTCAGTAAGTTTCTTATTTACTGTGGGAGTCTTGTCTGAGAGATACTGTTCTGCTCTTAAGAAAATTTCATATGCCAGAAATACTACAGATAATTGACAGAATAATGGTGGTGAGGGGGAAATGCATGGGGTTGAGAAATAAGACTATAGTTCAGCTTCTCAATCTTTTTTTTTTTGTCAAACTCACCCCCAATCAAGCTTTAGTAGGCCTTTTTCTCCTCATCCCCGCATGAAAATAGCATAGATGATGCTGGAAATGTACTGTGTGTACATTGTGCTTTATGCATAAAGATCATTGCCCCCATTGAGAATGTACACCTTAATTTATCTGTTTTTGAAAAAAGGTAAGGGTGTCTAATAACTAACCATTTTCATTGGCAGGCATTCATTTTTATGCTTAAATCCGTGGGCTGAAGCAGTATTTTTTCCATCAGACTTACTGGGAGATAGATCTGTTTTCTGCCAGTCATCCTTTCAGCAGTTGTGCTTTGTCCCCTAGCCCACCATAGACATTCAGCAAGGCATTTCCCATTGGCTCTTCAAGTCTTTAACAGGTTCTTGATTGTAAATGTGTATTATAAGTAGGTCAGTTTTGGAGTTCTAATCTGTGAAAATGCTCTGGGTGAATGACTTAAAGTTGTTAAGTGTAACAGACTTTGGTAAATGGTAGTGAAATTTCACTAATGAATCTACTGTTGAACTCAGGCTGCTTGGACTGACAACCAGAACTATTGTTAATACAACGCTGAAGTTTTGGTGTTTATGTTAATATAAGTATTCTGTTCTCCACCCTGCTGTGACCTAAATACTTGAAGCAAAATTATTAAGAAATCAAAGAAGTTTTTCTTGAGGTTTAAGTTGAATTTGGAGGATGTGATACAAGTAGTTTCTTTCTTCACAGTAATCTATAGTTGCAGTGAGGATTTGTACCTACACATAGTTGTATGAAATTTCGTGTAGGTCAGAAAAGCTGCCTATTTGCTTTCTACTTAAACTATAATCAGTCAGCTATATAAAATTCATTTTCCTTTTTCCAGTGCATTTAATCTTTTATACTAGAATTATGATCTCAGCTCTTAGTGAATTGAAAGGATGAGGTTATATTACAAATGGCACTAAGTCCATTTCGATTTAGTAATTCATTAATCAGAAACTTGTATTTTAAGAACCTCAGTTGCTTACGGTGCCTACCTATTATGATGCCCTAGAGGAGTAGACAGTGATTAAAATCTGGATTCCTTGCTTTGTAAGACTATCTAGAGGGACCGATATCTTGTTAATGTGATTAGGATGTTTCTGGTTGTGTTAGTGCCGTTTCTGGAGGTATGCATTAAATGTGTATAATGAATTTGGGGTGCAAGAAAGAAGGCGCTCTGGTGGCACAGTGCCTAAGACATTTGCTAATCAGAAGGTTGGTGGTTCAAACCCACCAGCCACTGGAAAAAGGGACAGTCTACTTCTGGAAAGATTTACCACCTTGGAAACCCAGTGGGGGTGGCTGTGAGTTGAAATTGATTCCATGGCAGTGAGTTTGGGTTTGATTTGGTTTGGTTTATAAAGTATAATTGGGCTGTTGTAGCGAATTTCCAGTCTACAACCGTTTTTAAATACCTGAACAAAACAAGCGAGGAGCCAGTTTGTGCTGATACGCTAAGGGCAAAAAGTAATTAAAAGCCTTTTTAAGATGGTGTCCTGAAGGCTATACTTTTAAAAGCTCACTTAGTGGTAACCTATTAGGGAGCTAAATGACCCATTTACAAACTCAAGCCTTTATTCAAAAAGATGTTCTGCATTCTCTGTAAATACACTTCATTTCCATTTTAGTTAGGAATAATGGATCCCAGCATGGCAAACAGTTGAAGAATGGAAAGAACTGAATAGCTGGTAATCCACATAGCTCTTGGCACTCTGAGCAACCAAGTATGGCCATCCAAGTCAGTAATTAACACTGCTGCGTTATTTGTGTTTAACTGTAAAACTTGCTTATTGTCTGTACCCTTGAAATTGAATAAAATTTCATGAGACGACTTACTAATGGAAAGAGAAAAGCCATGACTGTTCAATTGGGGGTTGTACACTTCTCCTTCCTTACGGCTCGGTACTTGGCCTTTAAATATGTTAAGGCCTGTGCCTGCAGAATTTTTTTTTCTCTATTCTACTTTTCAATCTACATGACTTACGTGTACTTCTAACTCATCTAGAAATGTAGAAAACATTCCACCGTTTCACTTCATAAAATAGTAATGTACCTGTTGCCACCGTCTGCAAAAATCTCCCCTTTCAGCACCCTGTTCCAATTGCAAAGTAATTCCCAAAGCAGCACCTTAGTTCAGGCCATCGGCATCTTTCCCGGTTCGTTAAATGATCCATGTGTGCAAGTGTAGTTTTAAGTTGAAAACCTTTCTGCCGAGTCCCGTGTGATCTCTTAATCTTCTTTCCCTCTTGCCACAATATACTTGTCACTTAGTAAGCATGTAAAAGTTGAGTAAGTGAAAAAATGAAAACATGGGTAATACTACCCACCAGCGCCCCTTTGACATTTAGATCAGCACTGTTCTGTAGTAATGCTATGAATGATGTAACCAAGACAGGATGGGAGCTTGTCAGTAAAGTCTGTCATTCAATTAAATGTGTGTATGTTGGGGACTGCTGTGCTAAAAGGTTCTGGTAATGAACTGGGCACTAGTACTCAAGCCTGTGGGAAGAGGTAGGTGACCAAGTGGGCAGAGTATGACGGGACACTGCAGGGAGTGGCAAATTGGAGAGTACAGTTTCAAGGGGTTGTAATTGTAAAGTGTTAAGATA